CGTTAAGAAGAAGTCGCGCCGTGAATGGCCCCCCCTTCCCTCCCCCCTCTCTGTAATAACGAGCTCCTTACATCCAGATTACACGTGCGCCGTACGGAACGTAGCGGCTTACAACAGCTATAAAGCAATAAAAGTCGATTTGCCCCGGTGAACACAGGCCCGGGTGATATATCGCTGCTTAGCGCCCACGTAACCAAGGAGCGCATCGACCGGCAGACGGGCGAGAGTGGTCGAGGGCCCGCGCGTCTCTCCTTTCGTTCTTTTGCACGCGCGTGCACGCATCATCATCGCGGGCGCGCAGAGGAAATGGCCGGGCGAATTATCGAATGATCGGGGCGTACGAACGTTTCGAAACGTTCTCGGCCACGACTCGCGCCGATTTTATTCCACCCGACGCCCGAGATCCGTGATTATCTCGCTCGTCAATCTCGCGGCCTTTCCGTCGACAAATTGATTCCCCGCTGATTACTCGATCCCCCGCCACGATCGCTTATTACGACGGGGTAAATACGTAATGGGCGAAGAATGGAGAAGAGGGAGATGAGAGAGGCCGGAGGAGACCAAGCTCTGGGATCATACGTTACTTTATTATCGACGTTGGTGTGTAGAATTTTTTTTTTTTCTATCATTGGGATTAATGAAGGAAAGACATTGTGTTTGCGCGAAGTTTTCGAAATGAAGGTTTCTTTTGGGGGATGGGATAAGAATAAAGGGAAAATTATTCTTTGCTCATGGACAGATAATGTCCATATTATTTATTTGTTTTTTTTTTCTTTTTCTCGCAGTTTTTAAATTATATAGAGATATATTATATATTATATATTTATATATTAAATATTAGCTAGTTTTTTTTTTTTTTATAGATAAAGTTGTATAAATAAAGTGAATTTTGCGGTATGTGGCTCGGTTGTGGCAAATTAGCTATAGGATTTTATTTCTGTCTAGACAATTTGATTCACTAATTTGCACGCTTATTTTACCTTAAACTTGTCTTCAACTTTGTAGGATAAGTATAGGCTGCTACTTTCTTTTATTTTATTATCTTTTTCCGTTTTCTTTTCTACTTGTTTATTCACCATATTCATTGAACGACTACCCGAACAAGTACTCGTTTGTTTGTCTATACAGGACATTCCAACAGCTTGATCTTTCACCAATATCAATAAGTCGTTGTCCGTCCCTCTGTCACAGGTTTGCACACAAATCACCCTGACATCTTCCTTCTTCTTTTTCGTCCTCTTTATTACCTTTGGCACTTTTTGACACTCGGTGAAGAGCATCTCAGGTTTTGTGCACGAAGTTACACTGCATTCCATCAGAGTGCTCGGACATTCTCTCAGGTCGCATTTGAATCCTATCGCTTTCCTCACGGTTATCTTCCTGCACATCTCTGTTATTTTTTTCATGAAAGTTTTTTTTTTTTTTTCCTACAAATACACCAGAAAATGAAAAATATATCATACTTTATCTCAGGGGGCATGGATTGTCAGAATCTTCTTTCTTATTTGTTAAAAAAAATTTTTTTTTTTTTTTTTTTGCCTTATTCCCACCTTGACTTGCTCCGAAATATGTTGAATCTTCTTTTTACTCCTCTTCGTCCTATATGCCATCATTTTTCTTTCTTTCCTCGGCGCGCACACAGTTAATGCGAAACTGAAGGATCATTTAACTCAGCTTATAAGCATCTAAAATTTGTGCCAATTGCTAAAAAGAACAAAATCGTTTACCTTGGACAGGCTATGTCCCTTTTGTTACCTAAGCAATGTCTCGAGCAACCGCGAAGAACTGGCCTCGGCTTTCTTCTACAAACTTCGATTTCCTTCACGCATTTTCTTTCGGGAACTATTTCTTCCTTCTTTGCAGGGATTTCCTCTTTCTCTGGTACGATTTCTTCTTTTTCCGGCGCGACCTCCAGTGGTTGCTGCTCATCCTCAGAAGGATTGGAAGGCGTCGGGTGATTTTCATGCTCGGCCGATGGCACAACCTCTTCATTTCCTGTTCCTTTCGATTTCAATATTCCTCTTTTTTCCTTTCTGTGTGCTTCTTTCGTGTTGTCTCTGTTTGCCTTTCTAAGCATTCCCTCTCATTCTATCTTCACCGTATAATTAATCTCGTTTCGTTCACGTAATCGAGATTATCGTAACACTTGTCGAAATTTCAAACAATTGTTCTTCAATTTCAATGGATTTTTTATTCATATTCTATGGAATCGTCAATTTCAATGGAATGCGCGCTTCCTTCAGTGGAACTGTCTAAACGTCGTATTCGCATAGTGGCCCACTCGCGTAAAATTATTATGGTTTTCGTGCCCATTTTTAAGCCATTTTCCTGAGGAGTTGCTGGACACCTTGCTATTATGATGATTCTATCATTCTCCTTTAAACACAATTTATTAATTAAACGTTAATCTTTTGTGTTCGATTGATTCGAAGGAAACATAATTTTTTTTTTTCATTAAATAACGTGATCATGTTACTGTATACGTATACGAGCAAAAATTTCTTTTTTTTTTTTTTTCTATAAAAGTATCGATATATTAACCTCGTTCTTCATGAATGTCCGTATTTTATTCCAAAGTTTTCTGAAGATTCGAAAGTTTTTAAAAAACTTGCAGATCAACTTATCTTCCAATTATATGAATGATTAGAAGTCGCAGCATATTGCGACAAGGGACAATTAAAGAAACGACTAAAATTTGCCCATCAAAGTAAAACGAAAAGGTTCGTCTGATTTACAAGGGTGGCGCCATTTAAACATATGAACGTCGTGTTTCTTGTACACATTTGGCTTCATTCGTTCCATCCATCGTGGATCCAAATAGTCAAATATCATTTGACTAAAATTATTCACCAAAAGAAAAAAAGAAAAAAAAAAGAAAAGAAAGGAAAAGAAAAGAGAGAGAGAGAGAGAGAGAGAGAGAGAGAAAGAGAGAGAGAGAGAGAGAATGAAAAGATAAAAATGAAAAATTGTATCGTTACTTATCTTGGATGTTACAAGTTGGAGTTAGTTAACTTAATTTATTAAAATTCCAACAATTGTTAAAATTTATATAAATAACTATTTTTTCATAAAGAACTTGAAAAAAGATTTGCTTCAAAACAGAATTGTTTTCATAATTAATTGAACGGAATTGAATTCACAACGATCGATCAAGTTTGTTTAGGCAATTGTGATGGTATCTTTTTTTTTTTTTTTTTTTTTTTTTTTTTTTTTTTTTTTTT